ACCTACATGTCGTCGAATACCCTTCGTTATATGATTATATTATCGAAAGCAAAAGATATTGGTTTCGAAACACACTTCCACGATAGATAATATGGTCGAAATATCTAAACTTTTGAGTTTGTCGTTGATTTGCACCATTACACACCACCTAAAAATATACAACAATAATATATATATATATATATGTTCAATATTCGTATCATGTTTAATCAATCCAGGATCATTAGATTGTAATCAAATTCACATTTTGTATTGTCAAATCGATTCGAAGCTGGATATCATCACATGGGATCGAAAGCTATTTGGCGGCGAATAGATGATAAAGTCCAACTTGGGGTGCAAAAAGCTGCACAATAATACCATGGCACGAGAAACGCATCGAGGCCGGTGGCGCCGGCGAGCGTGGACGCGCCAAAGTGCGGCGTCCACTTGAGCTCCAAGGTAGTAGGCGCCGTGGGAATGCTCTCAAAGTACACTATGGCTTCTAACCAGTCGATTGGTACGTCGTCCAAGATGGGGGGGTCCACACGGCAATGTCCTGACGGCAACGAGTGTGCGCGAAGGCCATAATGCAGCAGCAGCTCCGACAGTTCATGGGGTGAGTGCTGCTCATACAAGACAAACCCAGCATACGCGTGGCTAGCAATAAACCTACGCCCATCGGGTGAAATATATATTTATTTTTCACAAGAATCTAGGGGTTGGACGTACCGAAAGTACAGCTCCGAGTACATGTCTTGGAGTTTTTGGACGATTTTCTCTTGTTCTTGGTGCAACAAGGCGTGTGCGACTGCGAGGTCGTCCGTGTCGAGTTTCTGCCGTGAGAAAATATATATAAAAACATATCGCACGATTGTATGTGAGATCGGACAAGTATATTTTAGGGTGCGTCTGGTCACCGGAAATATTGCAATATTCAGCCCCAAAACCAAATTTGAGCGCTGAATTCAACAAATCTGATCAATATTGAAATATGTCTTGAAGAGTTTTAACCCAAATCCAATAAGTCCACGTGGGATTTACTCGTTGAAGAGGCCCAAAACGCCATAGTTATTACAAAATAGACCTTTTACCTCCATTTTGAAAATGGCATTATGGTTAATCCCATTTTGCGAGAAAATGGAATATTATTTTTGAAATGTTTGAGAATATTACATTTGATTTACAACCGTAACGCACGATAGGTTGAGAATATATATATATTTAAACCCACAACGCAATATCGGTTGAGAAGCTATGATAATTATATCACCACAAAGCAAGCATATGCACTTCAGTTTGTACCTGGTTTAAAGCGTAGTTGTCGTGGAGGTACCTCCGTCGAAGGTAGTGCAGGGCCGTGACACATTGACCTTGTACGTGCATCACATGCTCGTCGTCGTCGTCGCCGTCGTCGTGGGCTCGAATTCCCCGATGCCAATCTCGACATACAAACTTAAAGTTGTACTGGACGTCCATGTACAAAGCCAACTCGTTGTGGTACTGATGCTGGAATAGAAATAGCCAGAAAAAGTGGCAAAATAGCCGATTCAACAGCACACAGTCGAGCGGCAGCAGCTCCCGACGGCACGACGCCAGCATGTCTTTATACAGGTCGGTGGCGCGGAATGTCGGGTATGACGCCATCAGGTGCTGCTTGACGAGGACAGAGATGCCGTCAAATGCATGCAGCGCCCCCTCGCCGCCCGCGGAAATTGCCGCGTCGACTGCCGCCGCCGTCCCGTCGTCGTCATGGCCAATGAAGAAGGGGGACGTGGAGACCAAATATTTGGCAAATATCTTGCGACCGTATGTTTGCAGGCGGCTGCGACTCTCGTCTGACAAGACGGTCGTCGATGATTGGCTGGCCAGTGTCCGCCAAAACAGGCTAATGGCCCAGAATTAACAAACCACTAGATATATATATTATTTTCATATACTGTATATATCTATCTAGTTATGAAAACAACAACGACTGTACATCAATAATATAGTATTACCATGTCGTGAAAAAACCGACGAATGAACATATATATATATATTGGCTATGGTGAATGATATGAAAAGCGTATATTTGTGGATCTTTGTGTGTATCCAAGTTGAAAAATACACACAACGAATCAATATATATATATATATATATATACGAGACGAGCAATCTATTACCGGTATTCGTCCAAACTGCACAAGAAGAACAGTTTGCACTTGTCTGGTTCTGTGGGCAGCCACGACGCATAGTACCGCATCATTTTGGGCGTCTGGACGACTTCTTCCAGCGCGACCAGCCCGAGAGGGTCCACCGCGTTGGATGCATGGGGGTCCTAATCGAGGTCAAATATTCGTTGTCAGAGGTTTTCCTAGCTTCTATAGGTAGTAGAGCGGTGCCAAATGGCAAGTTAGGTAGTGCTACTGTACATACCTCTCGGCTCCATAGGGCCACGAGGGGATTCGGCAGCATGTGCAGCCCTCCCTTTCGCCCCAGAATCGCATGGTGCGAGCCGGGCTTGACGTTCGAGTTGTAGTGGTCCGTTAGCCAACGGTTCCACTTCTGCAGCGTACTTGGGGTCTCTGCCGACGGGGAAGAGTCGGCTGGTGAAGTTGAGGCATCATGGGGGGCAGGCGGGGCGGTCGCAGTTGCCATCTTGGACACCTTGGCCTTGGCGGCCTGGGTCTGCTCAAAGAGGAACCGGGCTGTCTTGAGCCGCACTTGTTGGGCCCAGCGAGACTGCGCTTGGCGCGACTTTTGAGGATCGTCTTCGACTAAAATGGACGTCTGAGATGGCGGGAGCACTATGGTCGATGAGTCGTCCAGGAATGCCGACACGTCGTCGACAGTCATGCTTTCAAGCAAGCGCATGCTGCTCTCGATGGTCGCAGTCGACGATAGAGGCTGCTGGGTCTGCATGTCCTGAAACGTGCTGCGCTGGGACGCCAACACGTCCGCCAACGACGTCGACGAGGTCAGCGCCATGTCCGTGAGACTGCGCGATGAGTCCCACATGCTTTCGCAGTCGGATGGATAGCTCTCGCAACTGTCTCGCATGATGTCTTCGGCGTGGACCATGGCGTCGTCTGGAACAACAGCATCTATGGTGGCCATATGAGTGACGTCGGCGTCGTCATATCCTACGTACGCGCGGGAGGAGCGATGGTAATGGGAATCACCAGGTCTAGCAGCGGAGACCCGGTCAACGGCAAGTCGTCCTTGGAGTCCGAATCGTGCGCGTGGCGCCGGTAGAACGAATGCATCCTGGTGTGGCAAGGCTCACAACAATTGCGTCAACTGTTCCTATCTTTATTACATGTGATGTTGTAGGGTATTGGATTTCACAGGATATTGAATTCGAAGAAGAAAATAGCTGTTTCAATCGTTTGGTTCAAGTTTGCTCGGTTCATTCAGGAAACTGCAGTAACTTACCGTTGGGAAATAAATATTCCACGTGAAGGTCCATGAATTAACCCCCAAGCTTAGTGTGTGCCGTTGTGGAGAATAAATCTCATCGATGAGGCAGTACCAGTATGTGTATTCTGCAGTAAACTAACAGTAAAACTTGCCGGATAGCGTTTGAAGTGGTACTACAATACTGTACGTAGTATCCGGTACTGTTTCAGATAAATGTGTGTTATCCGGATAAGTTGGTCATCGACATTTACGACAGTAAACGTTATGTAAAACGAGGAAATTTAGTGAAAAAGTACTAAATATCCCCTAATTTCACGGATAATACATACATTATCCGTAATTCGAATAGTACCGTATTATTTCTACTAGAAATAATAAGGTTATGGGTACATCCAGTATCCAATCATTGATTAGTATTGTCAAAAAATTATTTGATTGGATAATATAAATCACGTGTTGACCAAACTTCAGTGTCCCTTAACAGTAAAATCTGTCGTCGTCTGTACTGTTGCCGGTGGAGATGCTCTTAACGCTACTATTAATAGTATTGTGAATTCGCTATAAACTTCCAAAATTCGCATGGTTTGTCGAATCAATATTGAATCACGCCGGAGTTCTGATTGGTTGAATATACTTGTCCTTTCTGCAAGAGCCAATCAAATCCACCAAAAATGGATTAGCCAATAGCGTCGATTCGTGATTCGATTCGGGGCGAGATTCGATTCGACGGGGTCTGGAAATCCGTATCGAATCCACAATAGTACGTACGTACCCGGTAGTAACTTATCAACCAATTGGTCGAGATGCTCTAACGTAAAAAACCAGTAGATGGCCCGAAATGGACCCTACTTTCTCAATAAATAAGGCGATTTGGACAAACTTTCAACTATGCCGTTGTAGAAGATTGAACGTGCTACATGATACAAGCAAGATTTGACGGATTCGGTGCATGCTTCCTCAAGTTATTCCTGGTTAAAGTCAAAAGTGTGAATTTTGAGAAGATCAGTAAATGGCCTTGAATACACTATGCATCGAATCAGTTGGACTCGTAATACTATTGTCAAAATGAAACGTATTGACTAGAGTTTATATGACTTGTTAATGGAATTCGCAAGGTGAGCCACCTTGCTCCTTTCTAATATCCAATCAGAGTCCATCACACCTTGTTTCTTACACACGATTGGCTATAACACAGACAGAAGAGGTTACAAATTTTGAACTTTGAATTTTGTAGAGCTTTGTGTGATGCTGCTCCAGAGAATTGTGCATTGATGAGTGCACTCCGACTATGTCCAATGTGGTTCTCCCCTTACAGCTAACATTATGTTGTGCGCTCGGTTGGGTCGCAATGTCGTGGTGGCCCTGGTGGGCCAACGCGGTGGCGCAAGAGGTGTTAGTAGCACCTATCGCAAAGTGCTAAAACCGCCATTTCAGCACTTGCGATGGGTGCCACCAAGACGTCTTGCGCCCCCGCCCGCGCAACCACGTGATCACACCGGCAGGGAGGTGTACGGCACCGACACGGGCTGGATGGTGGAATGTGGGATGACCAATTTCATTGGGTTAGTAGGCAAGTGGTGAAATGAGACCTGTTAGAATTGACCGAGTCCAGGATACCACATCACATGATCTTGCTCTCATACACAGCCTACACAATTATCTCAAGGCTCCTTGCATCAACCGCCATCACAGGAGTAGAATATATCGCAACACGGCGTGATGAATCTACGCAGCGAATTTCGTGATTTCACGGCATCTGATTGGACAAAATTGGACAATTTTGAATTCGCAAGGTGACCTGCCTTGCGAATTCCAAAAAGAGACAGGCACATGAAAAGTAAAAATCATCAATACAAACTTGAAGATATATTTAATTGAAACTATACAATTTCAGAATTATTTATGGAATTCGCAAGGTGGTTCACCTTGCGCTCCATACAAAATTGCCTATTTCACATTGCTTTTTCTGGTTAATGTATTATAATTAAATAAACACCATCCCACCATACGGTATACTACTAGTAGTACTAGTGTCGGAGACTTCGCAATCATTTGTGTGTATGCGTGTTACTGTAATACTGGTAGTACTACTATTGTTCAAGAGGTCTAAGACTGTTAGTGACTGGCATGGCGCCCCGGGGCGCCGTTCCATTGCCAGCGATTATTGGCGGTGCAGGTTTTGCGCAATCACTTGGTGGCCGAGGTTGAAGCTCTGGAGATTCTACCGAATCGAGCGAGACCTGCTGCGCATTCAACCGAGGTATGACCTCCATTCTCTATATATCCATGCTGTGTGTCCAAGTGCACCCGCCAGGCCATACTCCCACGTGCGTGTGCCCACGTAGCCACATGACCATGTCAACAAGTACCGACCCCAACAACAGCGTGGAGGTGATTGCACAGCTCAAAGCCTGGCTACAGGGCCACGGCGTGTCACTTGACCACTTTGGCATTCACTACTACGGCCCTGACCAAGGCCATGGTGTGGTTGCTGCGAAAGCCTTTGTCCAAGGTATTACCACCTACTAGTACCTACACCTACATGTTTGGAATCTGCATGAATCACTTTCTCTCAAAGTAGCTAATGTATCTCTCTCTATTGGAAACCCGTAGGCGAACACACACTGGACATTCCGTTTCGCTTAACCATGAACGTCCACTCGGCGCTCTCGTCCGACTTGGCGCCATTGTTCGCTTCCGAAGCCGGCACCCTCGCCGACGTCGAAATCCTCGCGCTTCATCTCATGTATGAAAAGCACAAAGGTTTCGCGTCGTTCTGGGCTCCGTTCATCCGGTACAAGAGATCCCTTGAACGACATTCCTATTTACGCAGTGTTCTCGTGTCGTTGCTGTAGAAGTTTGCCCACAACGTTCGACACTCCCATCTTTTGGAACGACGACCAGTTCGCGGCGCTACAAGGCACCAATGTATCGTTACTCGCCGCCATGATGAAGCAGCAGATCGTCGCCGACTACACGTCAGTCCATTCGCCGCTGTTTCAAAAGTACCCGGCGCTGTTTCGAACGCCGTCTCCTACCATGCAAGAGTATAAGTGGGCGCTGAGTGTGATCTGGTCCCGCGCGTTTGGCATTACCAGGGGCGGCGAGTACCTCCAGGTGCTGTGTCCAGCCATGGACATGTTCAACCACGATGTGCTGCTGAATCGCCCGCTCGACGACTTTATTGTATTCAACGAGCAAGCGCAGGTAAGAAAGTCTGCTACTATTCCTCATAATGTTATGGTCCTTTTACCCAGCATTATTTGGACGTTTGTGCTGATTCGCCAAATCAATCGATATTGCTTGTATTGACTTTTGTATGTGAAAATGATCCAGTGAGTATCACACTAATTTCAGTCACACACTGAGTCGATGTTGATTTGGTCAAACACACACCCCACCTCCAATTTCGAATCGAATATCTTGACAATATGAGGCTCGTTTTGCCGTGGAAATATATATTATATGTGGTGTCCAACCTATGATATATATCTATTTATGGCTACCCATTGGGTACATTTCTCCAAACTTTGGTCGTTTGTGTGCTGATTCGCCAAATCTATCAATCGGACGATTGTTTGTACCAACTTTTGTATGGAAAAAGGGGTCCTGTGACGATTGAAATCACATTAATATTTAGTTCCTACACTAATTAGAGGCGGATGCGGGTTTCCTGCAATCTGATTGGCTCCATTCTTTTATGCCGATTCTTCTGTCGTTTTAATTGGTAGTGCTCGAATAACCACACGAATCAATGTCGTAGACGTTGTGCCATCGCCTCCATGTCGATTGCGTGGCCAATACCCCGTTGAACATTTGCTACGGGCCGTACTCAAATGCCAAGCTGCTGTATTCGTACGGGTTTGTCGTGCCAGGTACTACAGACTACTACTAGTACTACTACTACCTCGTCGAAATGTCCCGTGTGTCTGCAACTTTGGTCGTAGGCAACCACCGCCGCGGGATTGATTTTTGGGTCAACGTGCCCACCAACGACCGATATTACAAGCTCAAGAAATCCCTTCTTGACTCGAATCCTTTGACAGCCCATCAAACGTACGACTTCGACGGGACGCTTCTGGGCCACACGATTTCTGAGCGACTGCTCGCCATGGCCCGGATTGTGCTCATGCAGGAAGACGAAATTCATGCCCGCAACAACGTACGAATATATATATATATATATGTATTGCTCCTATCGGCCTGAATATATATATATATTATATATGTTGTAATGACGCTACTACTGACTTCAATATATGTATCTATCTATATATACGTACTAGTATATATATTTAATAATGGTGCTATTACAATCGGCCGACTATATATATACTGTGGTGATGTATGATTTCGACGAGTTTATATATATTTACCTATTTGCAGGCGTTCCACCAAGCGATGATCTCCCGCCGCAACGAAATTGCCGTATACGACAGCCTCACGATTGCGTGTCGCCGCAAGTTGCAAGCGTTCACCACGACGTATGTAAAGTGAACGAAATAGTTGTATCAGTCTATATTATTATTATTTCTCTTTTTAAGAAATATATATATCTGAATGACAAACGAGACTGGTCTATCATATATAGTCTCGACGAGGACGTGGCCCAGCTTGAAGCCAGTGCGTTGTCCCATCAACTGACGTTTGCATTGCAAGTGCGGATCGAAGACAAGCAAGTTCTAGAGCAATCCATCGCGACGCTGGCCAAGTGGAAAGCGTACCTACTGGACCACCCAACCGACTCACTAGTGTACCCCCCCCGGGACTGCCCCGTGTAACTCGACCACGATAAGACCACTGTCGTTGGTGAATATAGTGTGATGGTGATGCACCTCATGTAAACTTATACTTCGATATAGTGTAGTGTACGTACATGAAAGGACCTTGTAGCCTCAACACTGTAGTGGTCATAGCACGTCCTAGTGTAACGAGTTTGCCCGAGATAGCTACACAACTACCGTGACAATAGGACCAAATATACATACATACAGTAGTGATTGATCCGTTCCAACCTGAACCATCTTGAATATTTATGGACTAATACTTATATGTTGGCACATACATATATACATATTGACTTATTAAAACTGCACGCCGTTCTCAGTGAGCTTTTGGAATGCCTTGGCGAAGTCCTTGTGCCACAAGTCTTCGTCCTTGGCGTACAGATCTACATACTTTTTGAATTCAACGTCCCAAATGAAAGCCAGATCCGCAGGCAGCATCATGAGGTCGCCGGTGGGGTCGGTGTATTGCTCGGGGCCGTCCCACTGCTTGAGGGTCCACTTGTTCTCGACCAGTTCGCGGAAGTATTCGTTGGAGAACGTCGTCTCTGCGCGGGTCCATGGGCCGCTGTACCCGCTTCGTGTGGGGTAGCACCGCCCAACGGCATGCGCGCCGATCAGCGCCACGATTTCCCGGTCGTTGAAGCCCATGCGGTAGAAGACTTCGCGGACGTGGTTGATGGTCTTGGGCTTGGAGCCCTTGTCCGCGTCAGGGAGGCGGCCGTTGGGGGTACATGCCTTGGGCGACGGGGCGTCCTGGCGGCCGAGCCGGAAGGACACGTCGGGGCCGCCCATTTCCGAGATCGCGACGACGCCAGCGTAGATGTACAGATCAGCGTGGGACAAGGTCGGGTACTTGGCCTTGATCGCGTTCAACTTCTCGATGGCGATGACGAGGCCGGCATTTGCGCCGTAGTTGATTTCAGGGTTGTGGCGAATGGTGCCGCCTTTGGACCCGCCGCTGCCGCCGTCCGCTTTGCTGTACGTGCCAGACGAATGCCACGCTAGTCGAACGAACGTCGGCGCCAACGAATTGTCCGCTTCGATCAGCGCCACAATGTCGTCGCGGACAGCGGCCAAGTTCACGGGGGATTCCTTCGCGAGCATCACGGTGGCCGACGACGCCGTGGCAAGGAGAAACGCCATGGACATGGCCGCCGCGTTCGACGTGCTAGAACGAGGAAGGGCAGACGACGCGGCATGGAAGCTTCGGGTAACGACGGCGGGGGCGGTGTGGCGGAAGGCAGGGCCCACGCGGCACACAGCTCGGGAGACAACTTTACGGATCATGGCAAATTCAAAACTGATGTATGCAATCGTGTTGAAAAATATAAAAGGATCGATCCACTCGTTTTAGTCCTTGACAACCATTCTAGAAAGTACAGCTTCGTAGAGTGTAGGTCAGTTTGGTGATTTGTTTTTTCATCGTTTTGGTTTTTGCGGGTATATTGAGTACCCAGTATGGGACCGACAAGAAATATGTTTTTTTACAGTTCTTTTACTCGGGTGACTTCAGCTGAACGACTGTCGCAGCCACGACACACCAGCTGCCGAACGTGTACATGAACACGTTCGGCAGCTGGTACATGTACCAGTACATAGTGTGAATGGCGACATCGCCTGAACGATGACCACCCCCACCATCACCACTTTGGGTAGTACCTGCACAGCTTGATCGTTGCTCCACAGCGCAAGAAAAGAGGGAGGACTTCCTCGCCCATTTGAATCGCCGCGGAAATGATTCGTATCTGTGCCGCCCTTCATATCATACGATGGATGCTCCATGTGTTGGATTATTAGGACCTTCACTAGACTTCATCCACGCGTCGTTCATTCCCATGCAGGGTCTCCATCACCCCAGCCATCACTTGAGGTGGGTGCATCCCCATCAGTCGAACGTCGGGTGTCCTCGTTGTTTCAGCAGACAAACCATGGATTACTCCGGATAATGATGTCAAATCCGGATACCAGTCGTTGAACCTTGACATGGATCTTGTTGTGCCTTCGTTTTCACACCCCCCATTCCAGATTTTGACGAGCGTCGCACCTAAGGATGTTCCGTCAAGTTGCTTCCCGCGCCACCCGTCTCGGCGCTGCGACCTCGATTGCTCGCGTGAACGCCCCCCGCGCCATGGTCCGCAGCATGATGACAGCGGCGAAGACCACCAAGTCGTCCAAGACCATGAACGTGTCGGCCATGTCCGCGGCGCTTCTGTTGACAGCCGGTGCTTCGATGACCATTCTCCATGCCAAGGAAACGGTTCCCGATGTTGCAAAAATTCGATTGGAAATCGCGGAATTGATCGAAAAAGACGCGTACCTCGGACCCACGCTGGTGCGCCTCGCGTGGCACTCGTCCGGCACGTACAGCAAGAAGGACAATAGTGGCGGCTCCAAGGGTGGCACCATTCGCCATGACCCGGAGATCAATCATGGCGCTAATGCGGGTCTGGATACCGCCATCGAGAAGCTGGAACCCATCAAGAAAAACTACCCTGGCATTTCCTACGCCGACTTGTATGTGTTGGCCGGGATCGTCGCGATCTCGGAAATGGGGGGCCCGGAAGTCAAGTTCCATTTGGGTCGAAAGGACGCTGTGAGCGGCGACGAATGCACCCCCGACGGTCGCTTGCCCGACGCCGACAAGGGCTCCAAGCCCAACACCATCAACCACGTGCGTGAAATCTTTTACCGCATGGGCTTCAACGACCGGGAAATCGTGGCGTTGATCGGCGCGCATGCCGTCGGGCGGTGCTACCCGTCCCGAAGCGGGTTCAGCGGTCCTTGGACGCGCGCAGAGTGGACATTCTCGAACGAATACTACCGTGAACTGCTCGAGAACAAGTGGACGCTCAAGAAGTGGAAGGGGCCGCAGCAATACACCGACCCCACGGGCGAGCTCATGATGCTGCCCGCCGACATGGCCTTCATTTGGGACCCCGAGTTCAAAAAGTACGTGGAACTGTACGCCAAGGACGAAGACTTGTGGCACAAGGACTTTGCCAAGGCATTCCAAAAGCTCACCGAGAACGGTGTCGACATTGAAAAGACGGGATGGCGTCGATACATTTTCTTTGGACCTCGCGGGGATTAAAAGGGGGAATTCCATGGATTTTCCATGGATCGTTATATTTGTGATTCAACGAGGTCTCGGTTGTTTGTGTCATCCATGTAATAAACAACCTGAAATAAAGTAATTACTCTATAAACGTTGATACACCTGGGTCGATGACCAAAGCGAGCGGCGCCACGCGACGATGTAGCCGATGCCGCCACCCACGACCACCCCAAACGCCAGCATGAGCATCATCATCGGCACAGGTTTGACCGCTACATGCAAGAAAGCATGGTCAGAATGCGACAGGAACCTAGGGAAACAACAGCCACGTACCTGCGACGTGGTTGGACAATGTCAGGGGCACGTGACAGGACGGCATCGCGTCCACAAGCGCAGCGAGCTCGTCCACCGGACACAGCTCTACGATGTACTTGTGTCAACAAGGATGGTTTACAAGAGTTTAGCATATATTCTAGTGTATTTCATTTGCATGGGAAGTGTGGTTAATAGTACCAGTAGTGCATGGGCCTAGTAAGAGTGGCTGGCCTTGGTACAGCACTCGTACGAAAAACGACGGGTGGTCAATTGAAGCGGTCGTGTGGTCGCTCAGCGTGTTGGCTTGTCGGGACCGTTTGGCTCTGTACACTTCAAACACCATGTGGCTGGCGTACGGCACCCATTCCGTGAGCCAGAGGTCCCCTCCAAGCGCGGCCAGTAGCGCCATCAGCGACGAATCATGAACTATACCATACCTCTTAGACCTTTAACTGTCAATCAAAAGAGGAATCATACCAGAATAGAGGGCGAGTCGCAGTGGGCGGCGGCGGTGGTGATTTTCTGCCGCGTCCAAGAGCCGCGACGTGATGGCCTGCTGCAGGAAGGCCTTCATGGCGACCTTGGAGTACTTGCTGTCATGAAACAGGTATTGCAGGAGCACCGAGGTCTCTTCACGATGGACGGTGACGCGGAACAGTTCGTCTGACATGGGGATCCGGCGATCGGTGCATCTAAAACCATCGCAAGTCTCAATATGATGAACACACAATGTCCATATTGTACTTGGATGTCATGAGGCAGTCAAACAAGCTGGGGGCGCTGAACGAGGTCAGAGTCTCGTCCAACGCCGCGTCCAGCTCCAAGTTGGCTGGCGCGACTGCCCATGCCTGCATACAGGCATCAGAGCGTTGGTAAGGAATAAGCGAGTGTGTGTAATACTGTATCGCACGTGAAACTCGGGGCTGGCCAACCATTGCTTGCCCACCGCAGCCAAGGTCGGACAGTTGGCTTCGTTGGGGAAGATCGTCGACACGGCTTTGTCCTGGGTGTGCCAAGGCACGGGCTTCGTAGGATGGGCCACCGATGGAAACATTCCTTGGACAATGGTCTACATATGTGGAGCATGAGGCATCAAGCATCGTCGTGAGGAAGATGGAGCCAACCAGCCACCTGTCCAGATTGCACCGTCCGCGGGATGTCGCTGCTTTCGAAATACACGTCTAATGTGAATGAAGGCATGACGTGATCTGCAGACGTAGCACACGATAAGTTGTATGAACACGTTACCAGACGGGTCGGTCAAGTCCACGGCTTCGTCTGCGGCGAACAGACCGACGGCGGACGTCACGTACGCGTCTCGGAAGTGTCTAGATAAGTTCATGCACGTAATGAAATGGCACAAGACAACCAGATCGTCATACGCACTTGGCATTTTGGACTTCCTGGGCAAACCCTTCGTCAGTGAGTTGGCCAAGACTGCAATTGCCGCGGCGGATGTTGCCCCCGGCCGTGAACACTTTGGTGAACTCGAGCGCTTGTTTATTGTGCTTGCGTGAAGGAACGTCGTCCAGACCTGTCAAGGAAGGCCGAGACAACTCTCGCGCAATGCAGTTCCATTCCTCATCGTAGTCTTTCCAGCAGCTGTCTGGGTAGCACGGAGTCCGCGCCCCATGCCGGACCACGATTTGAACTTGCACCAACTCCACAGTTGACAACAGCGTCTGATCCAGAGGCTGGATCGCACTCAACCTCATGTCCTTGGCGCAATAGGACGGATACATGTGACTTGCTGCACACGGAAGCAGCATGACGACGACGGCACGCACAGAAGTGGTGACCTTCATCCTTGCACTCGAAACTTCAATAGGATCAATCTACTCCACCAGAATTCCGGATACAGTACAACCATCTCGAATTATCCGGAACACTTGCCCATCAATCAAAACCGGGAATGCGCATCGCATCGTTCCTTCCCGCTGGAACCACGATATGCTACGAGCTGGGCCTGGGAGATAACGTATCTTGCGTGACCTTTGAGTGCCAGGTATGGTGAGCATGCAAGCGTCCTCGTCCTGTGGAACATGATGCGAGCGTGACGCCCATGACTAGTTTCCTCCGGCGGCCAAAGACAAGCCCAAGGTCATTCGGTGCATCTTCAACTCGGACGACCTGACGTCGGCGGAGATTGAGAACGCGGTAAATACGAATCTCGCTGCGTCCGTGCCGCTGTACGAGATTGACGAGTCTCTCCTCGAAGATGTCGACGTCGTGTTGATCCAAGACCTGTGCGAAGTGTGCGCCATTGGTCCGCCCATGGTTCTCGCTGCCTTGGACAAGCTCAAGGTCCAACCGCGCGTCTTGTACCTCACCGCACGTAGCCTCGACGGTCTCTACAACGATATCATGACCGTCGCGACGGGATGCGATATTGAAGGCCGTGGCGTCGCCATGGTCACGTCCATGAAAGCGCGCGTGGACCGCGTCGAACGAGCGCTCGTGGATTGCACACCCGTGAAAACCGTATGCGTGGAATGGCTAGGTATGCAATCCCAGCTCCACACTAATATCGTTGTCGACATGTTCATACCGAACACACACACGGCGGCGGCGATGTCAAGGCGTCCTCACAACGAACGATGCTTGTTCCCATAGACCCAATCTACAATGCGGGCCACTGGATGCCCGACCTCGTGCATCGCGCCGGCGGGTACGATCCGCTCGCGGCGCCAGAATCGTTTTCAGTGGCCATCAACTGGTCACATGTGGCAGAGGTAGAATGGATCAACTACACCATGCTATGCATGCTATTGCTTCCTTTTGGTGGTTAATGCATGCATCCTCGCTGGGTTGTTTGTTTGCGTGTAGGCGGGGGCAGAACTGCTCGTGATCATGCCATGCGGGTTCGATCTCGCTCGAACCATCAAGGACGCAACCGACACGCTTCCGCCCAAATCTGGCTGGAGAGACATCCCCGCCGTCCAGAACCGCCGCGTTTGGGCGTTCGATGGCAACCGACTGTTCAGCGGCGCGTCGCCGGCGCTAGTCGATGGCCTCGAAATCCTCGCGTCCGTGCTGCATCCGGAATTGTACACGCTGGAGCCGACTCTGTACTCGACGGACTTTGCCTTGCTGGATATTTGATAGGCACCAAACGTCCTATCCGTCAAGACAAGGCATCGAATCAAACCAAATTTGGCCAGCCACTGGATGGCTGCAGTATTTTGAACCGACGCGACGAGTTTGTGTTGCCTGTATCTGCTGTGCTTGTAATAATAAATCATGTGCAATATTGTCGATTAGATACAAATTTAGGGAGAGGGTGCAATCGAATCGCGACCAAACCGATCCACAATCGATCTGATTGGTTGAATTTCATTGAGAAGGTTTTGATTGGCTAATAATTTTGAGCTCAAATGAGGTAGCCAATCAAATCGATTTAAATTCCAACGAGAAACCACGAAATTTCACTCGAAAGCACAATATCAATATAGTGTCGATTTTCGTCACATTGCCCAATTTTCCGTGGTTCGTAAAACCCCGCCGAGACATCTGATTGGCTAATATCCACTTCGCTTTTTCAGGGAGAATATCGAAAATAGATTGCAGCCAATTAGCGAAAGAAATTTCAGATTGACAGTGAGCAAGAGATTTGTATTCGAGGTCGGCGAGATGCGTGAACGGGTCCGAAAATTCATCCAATACTGTATATATATTATTGGATTGGCGGACTGACACGCTGTCAGAAATATCCTAGTCCACACTTGTACCATATGAAATATGAGCTTACAGTGAATAGACCTAGTTATTGCCGCTTGGCATCGTCTTCGGCTATCGCGGTGGCATGTAAGAGGGAGTCGACTGTCGCGGAGCTCTCGTCGTCCACGAGATCGGGCTGAATAAGGCGCACGGACCGCTGGCGAGTGAGGTGCATGCGTCGAAAGAGGTGTACCCCCAGACCCACACACAGCGCCCCCCCCACCAGCTCCCAGATGGCCACCTTTTCCGCCGCAAACGGACCGGCGTCCGTCAGGTCCCCGTACGACTCAAACGCCGACGGGGCAGCGGACCGCTCATGACGCGTCCAGAACACGGGCACGAAGGCGGATGTGAGGTTGGGGAACCACTCAGCAGTGGGGCCGATTTGAACGTTGACTTGCCAGTTCATGCGGCTGTGTAGCACGAGGCCGGTTAGGGGCTCGACGTCCACGACGGTGGCGTGGGCTTGGGCGTCGGGGGACAGGCCGGCGGCGAAGGGGACGGCGGGGGATGTCAGGTTGTACAGGTGGGGAGACGTGACGGTCACGGGGAGGTCGTCGTAGAGGGTCGCGCTGGTGCGGAGCCACACCGTGGGCCGCCACGTGTATCGGCGCAATGCGACCCCAAACCGAGTCGTGGTGGACGAGAACGTCAGGTTGAGAATTTGCCGGCCGAAGCTCCAGAAAAACGACAGCGACGACGGCGCGCCTGGTGGAAACACCGAGCCGTCCGTGTACGAGCACGTCGGGTCTTGGTACTCAATTCCACCGCCAGAGATTCCGTTGGTAGGAGAGGCAACCTGGGCTATCACACACCCGTATTTGGACGACGATAGACCGAGGGACGTGATAGTCGTGCTTTGGTTGCCGGTGACGTTGGCGACCAACGGTGTGCGCTGCGCCAACGAATCCGTGGCTGGGAATTGGATGTTTGGGAGCGGCAGGGTGGAGGTTGGAGTGGCAAAGCTGCTGCTGCTGGTGGTCGTGGCGGTGGCTGGGTTGGCCCATAGCAAACTACGAACGGATTGCTGGGTCAAGTAGCTTCCGAGAGGGAGCGCGGCTGGCCGGGCATAGCCAAACGTGGTGGCCACATGTCGAAGGTACATTTGCATGTCTGTCAGTTGCGTTGACGGGACTGCCAAAAGCGGAAACGTGTTCAACCAAAACGCGTTCGACACGGGCCAACACTGACTAGTGTTGTTGGTCGTGGAATTGCTGGTGGTGTTGGTTATTGGTCGCGTAAAGAGACTGGCGAGTACCGCCGCATGCGCTGCACACTCGTCGGCGGTAGTAAAAGGCTGGGCCAAATACAAGTCGAGCACCACGACGCCCCGCGCGACCGTCAACCCGCCAACACTCACTTTGGTCGGGTCCGTGAATAGCGACAGGGTTGCCGAGGCAGCCGCGTCGTCGATCGTGTACCTATCGCCTAATCCACAAGGCGCTGTATTGTCTTTCCGTCGATCGCAATAGGTGCGCAGTTCAGGGGGGCCGGCCATATGGGGCAATGGAACGGATAGCACGGACTGGCTCGTGACGTTCCAGGTGTCAGTAGTGACGACATCTGCTAGACTTGCGACGTTGGTGAAGTTGAACACTGTCCCATTGATCCACTGTTGTGTCGCCAAACTGCGGACGGTCGTAGCGCCACTCCCCACTTGTCGCAGTAAGTAGCTGGAAAAGTCGCCGGTGTCCAACAGTCGCAACAGCCATACGTAGCCGATGGTGTAGACGGCGTCTTGCACGTCGGATAGCTTGCCGTTTTGAACAAGTGGTAGGATTGAACTAACGAGGAAACTCAACGCCGTGGGTAGCGGCTACGAAGCAGTTTAGGATAAAGCGCTCTCAAATGCAAGGTCGAAGGCATACCTGAGCATTAACAGCGGCAGCACACGTGGCATCGGCTAGGTTGGACGTAGTGCAACTTGTAAGCAATGTCCGCCACACCTTGAATCCCGACGGATGCAAAAACGAGAGGGGCGAGTCCCGGTCCCACACCACTTGCGCAACAGTCTGCCACGTAGTGACATTGGCCGACGGTTCCAGGGCGACTTCAAAGCCCCGCTGGGGATCAAACAAGCTCTGGGTGAGGTTGGCACATGGTGAGACTGTCGAGCACGATGAGAACCTAACAAGTGCAATATTAGACACTTGGGTTGTCGAGAACGCCATCCCCAGAACTCACAAGAAAAGTGAGAAAGGTCACACGCACCATCTATACTCGACGATCTGCCTCAAGAACGGATGGGCCTGCCACGAGGTTAGCCATTGCTGGATTTGGGTCACTTGGCATGCCAACAGGCCAGGCATGGTCAGTGTCGGTGCGAGCCAGGCCGCGATTCCGCCGGCGTTCGTGAACGATAACAATGGGTCACTCGACTCCCAAACTCGACGCGCCAAGTCTGTCGAAAGGGGGGCGCACGCCACGTTGGCCACCATCGACGCCGGCGTGACGTTTCGAGGAATTGCGGCGGCGGTGGTGTTGTACACAAACGACACTTCGAACCCCACACATCTAAGTCAGCAAAATAAAGTCACGACGAATGAGCCACGAAAGTCGTTCTTCTTTTTTACCGCGGGTCCAGCGGGAGCGAAGGTTGTTGCCACTGACGTAGCATCAAGTACTGGTACGCCGTCGAGGCCGTGGGCAATCGCGTGAGCCATGTCGCGACGGCTACGATGCTGGGCGTCGACAGGCCAGACACCGTCGACAGAAAATTCCGCGCGCGGTCCACGGGGGATGAAGATACCCCGACGAACGACGTCGCAGCGTACACAGTCGTCTGGAACATTAAGAGCGTGGCGAGTAACAAAGATTGCGCAGATTCGGCTGTCGCACTGCCGGTCACGTCCGTCAGATGCGGGCACGCAAGAGGAGGCGATGGTGACGAGGCAAAGCACCATACGACGAGCATCTTGGGGTTCAGAAACGAGTAGGGCGTGTATACATCCCAAAGCTGCCTCGCTTGAGACGGTGAGATAGACACGGCGGGTGGCATCGGCACGGGCAGTTCAAATCCACTCAGCGAAGTCGACCCGCCGTTTGAAGTGTCCAGAGTCGCCACGTTCCACCGCGCGGGGGTGTCGGTGAACTGGGTCGTTTGGGTCCGCCATTGACTGAGGACGTCTTGCCACAAGAACGCATGATCCGGCCACATCAGCAGCCTACAATCATAAGTAGGTAGCATGTCAATATGGTGTCGATCCAATATATATATATATATATATGTTGATGAGAAAAGTACCATGTCGCGATGGCCTGAATTTGACTGGCGGTGAGCCCCGTGGCGGCTTGAATGTTGCCCACAATCGTGACGTTCGCGGTTTGAGTTTGCCGAGTCACGTGAGCGACCGGGGGATATTCTGCGATGAGTCGCTCGGACGAAGGAACGGCACCGCTATACGCCTGCACCCACGCCCCGAACCCGACGTTCGCGTTGTCCGTATTGGCGGTCAAGAACGAAAACTCGTTCCCGTCGTCCCATAGGTACTGCGCCTGGCTCAGCGTCGGGTACGATGTCGCAGCCATCATCGCTGGGACCCACCGTAACTCGAACCCCGTCTCGACAGCCGGCGTCCGGGGATCCAAATCGAAGGTTTCGATGGTGGCATTGGTCGGGGCAAGCCACCCCCTTAGCACGAACAGCGACATGAGGTCATTGTGGCGCCACGCTTTGAGCCACAAGTTGATCGCATTTAAGTCGTCCGCCGACACATTGGGCGCGTCCACATGAACAAGTTGCAGCAGGGCCGCAAGCTTCGCGGGCGAGTCGGCCGCCTTGGACCAGTACACGTCGAGAGCAACCGGATTCAGAAAACTGTACGGTTTGGATGGTGTCCACAGGTTTTGCACCACGTCGATGGTGAGGGTGGTGGTAACAGCGTTCAATTCAAAGCCCCGTTGAAGCCCTATAGCCGCAACATGCTTCTTAAACCAACTGTGGGAATGCGTGAGCCACATACCTGGCATGGCTGGATCGGTGTCAGCCATGAGACACGTCGTTGTCGTGTACATTTGCATCGTGGACGTCGTGGTGCGCATGCCACTGTCACAGGTGATAACCGATTGCGTGCGTTGGATCGTCGTGGTCGTTCCGACGTCGGACGCACTGAGCAGGTTAAACTCGGGCGTAAAGTACGTCGTTGGGCGACCTCCGACCATGCTGCTGGTGTACACCGTCTCGTTGGTGCTGTCCACAAGCCCCGGCTCGCACGCCGCGTCAGTCGTTACGACGGATGTCGTTATGGGGGCGCCGACGGCTGCCCCGCCATCGCAAGTGGCTTGCATCCACAAACCAAGCACGTCCCACATCAGTACTTCGTTCGACACCCACGACGCTACCCACTGCGACACGACCTGACGATCATCCACCGATCAATTCCAGTCCTTTTCAGTGTCATTGAACATGCAGTGTGAACTTATGACTACCTCCATCCAAGGAAGCCATTGGGGTTGTCCAAAAGCAGTCGCCACTGCCGCCTGGGCAGCGCTGGTAGTAATTGTAGTACTTGATGAACTCGCGACAACGAGAAGCGGCAGCCATACGTTTTGGAACCTACGCCCCATGCAATACCATATCTTAACCCAACAGATATTGAACAAAATCCATTGGCCTGTAGTGTCTCACGTGATAGGGTTGACCAGCGACGCAGCCGCCGACGGGTCCCACACTTGAAACGCGGTGGTTGGCACGGCACACACCGTGTTGTTGGCTGACGCGAGGCCACAAGTAGTCCTATTCCGGCACAGTTCCCATCCCCCCTGCAGGCCATCGCGGTACGGCTCGACGTCCCATATGTCCGTCGTGCCGCATCGCCACTGCGCTAGCAACGCCGCCTTGACATATGGGTCTTGGGCCATGTGCTGCACATACAATTGCACCACCGCGACGTCGGGGAGCGTGGCCAGTCCGCAACTTCCAGCGAGACCGGTCGCAAACACAGCGGAATTGGCGCCCCCCGTCAAGTTGGCACAAGTAGCCACGATTTGCGCATTCCACGACGATAAAAGTGATGACGATGAGTTTTGCATCGTCATCCACTTGCTGTATCCAACAACATGAAGGATGGAAATGTCACTGGAGGCGTCCCATAGTGCTTCGGTGGCGGCAGCCGACAGCGCCGGTCGGTTCAATGCAAACGGAGCCTGGCTTGGTAACAACCAGGGGTACGTCGCGGGGTCCCGCCACCACTGGTGGATCGCTTGTACGAAGAGTTTGTTGTCTATCCATTGCTGTAACCACGTCGACACCTACAAAGTCGACACCATGCAGATCGTCAGGCCCGCCCTCTCGTCTAGACTAGATTCATTGGTGTGAACCTGGCGAACGTGGCGTTCGGTGACGGTACCGTGCCCGAGTCCGTTGAGCGCCGTGGTCATGTCCGAGAGGCCAGTGGGAGTGACCAGAATCGTTTTCCAAGTATTAAACCCTGCAGTCGACACAAACGCCTGGGGTTGCGTCGAGTCCCACAGCATCTCGGCCAAAGTGTCTGGCCACGACAAGGTAGCGTCATACGGAAGTTCAAACCCGCCTTGAGCTAGACCAATCGCGGGCTCCAAGTCAAACCACTGGACGTCTGTGACGTTGTTAAAGGGCGACGGGGACGTGCCGCCTTGAGCCCAATGCCGAACGACATGCCGCTTGAACGTTGCACTGGTCACCACCCCCGTGAGCCAGTCCAGGATCGAATTCAGCTACAACATCGCAAAAATCAGCGGGAATCACGATGGAGAGTTGTGGTTAGTTACACACTTGAGGACTGGAGAGGCCAAATGTTGTCGCGATGGAGGTTTTCGCGGTGGTGTCGCTGGCCATGGCCTGGGACCATAGAATGTACCCTTGGGGGCTCAAGAACGACGGCGAAGTTGTCCCGTCCCATAATTTCGCCACAGTCGCGTCCGACAAGCCGACGTCCGTCCCGCCAACTGCCACCAGCGAGAACCCCGGTTGCACGCCCGCAGTTTCCCAGTCCAAGTCGACGTCGGGCTCGGGAAGGCTGTTGGTTGTGCGAGCCGTGTACGCCATCGCCCAATACCTACAACGCCAGCAACGCATTACATGGATTCAAACAAACGTTCATAAAGCCAATATACCGTTGCCGGTCGCGGCGCACGATGGAACTTTGGCTCCAGTACAGAATGTAGTCGCGGATGCCAAGGATCTGGGCAAGTGTCAAGTAGTCGGAAGGCGTGGCCACTTCGTTGTTGACCCCCGCCAAGAGCCTCGCGATTGCATCGGCGTTCAAGGCCACCGCTTGTTTCCACAGCCCAAACCCGCGCGTGGTGTCCGCGCGGTCATACGTCAGCAAGGAGAATTCGACGTTTGCTTTTTCGTGAAACAAGAGCGCCGCGACTTCCAAGCTCAACGTCCGGGACACGGTCGAGCTATCGAAGGATAAGACTCAGACATGATAGCACCACAATGAATCGCAGCGTCGAGATAGTTGCACGTACTTGGAGGCTACTGGAATCGAATTCAACTCAAAGCCAACTCGAGGCACGCCCGTGGGGGTGCCCCCCACTAGCGCGTCGACGTTTGTCCACGAAGTGCTAGGCGATTCTGATTGCATCCACAGCAGAAGCGTGTTTTGGTGCGCCTCCGTCGGCAGAATTCGCTGGGCCACGGCCGCTTGGACCAGTTCGTTTTTGATCGTGTTGAGCATCGACGGCACCGCTTCAAAGCAAGCTACAAAATAACCCATACATACCATGATTTGTCGGTTTTTCGATTGGTTGTGTATCGACACCTTCCCACGCAAATGTCGATCGTACCTTGTTCCATGTACTCTTGCACAATGTACGGCAGCGCAATGTTCTCCAAAACGCGAGGCAGCATCGTCGACAGCAGCGCGGGGGTGGCCTCCTGTCGTAGCTGCCGCTCGCGGCGCAACGTCACAGACGGCGTGACTTCGACCGTCATGCGACTGACGACGTTGGAGAGCACGCGGGGGAGGCTGAGTCGACTGAGCGAGTCGTACTGCCCGGTCAGCGTGGCGGGGATGTACTGCACGAGGAAGCTGTCGTACAGCGAACTCAGCATACCAGGCACGCGCGCTTGGCGGACGTGGGAGAGCAAGTGCGTGGCATGTTGGGGCAGCGTCTGAGACGCCACTTGGGCCCGAAACGCCGTGAGCGCGGCTGGCAAGGCGGCCTGCCGGACGGACGTGTCCATGAACTGCAAGTACGACCCCAGCGCCCGCTGCTTGGTCTGGGCAAGGAACGGTCCCCGAAAAAACGCCTCGAACGACGTCAGCTGGGTGTGCGCAAACGACGCCGCCAGCATCCGCTCCGAAAAGCCAGCGGCGGCGAGCTTGGCCAACGTCCGTGCATACGTGACATTGACCTAAGGGAAATGTCAACAGGTAAATGATTGTTCATAGTGCTGTAGTACATTCGTGATAACGTCAGATTCCGAGCCATTCGATCGAAGCGCGTCAAACTGGTATGACGTGTGGACTCGGTACGAGACAGTGGCGGCAGCAGCTGCCGTGGAGACTGCGACGCCGAGCTTTTCCGAAGTCTGGGTATACACATAAGGCCCCACTTGCTGGACCAATGGCAGCGCGCCTTGTACGACCTCGCCGGCATTAGTGACGTTGAACACGTAAAAACTCGTGGACTGTGGCTCTTGTAGGTGGTATCCAATGGTCGGACTCTGTTACTGGCAAGTCAGGGCCAAGATACAAGATAAAGCAACAGTGTCCACGTCGACAGAATGGATTATTTACCGCGAGGAAAGCCGAGTACGCGGCCGGGTCAGTGGAGATGGGGAGCTGCGGCTGGGCCAGTTGAATTCGCTTGGTCTTGTAAGTTGCATTTATCCCACCATACGACAACAAGACAATGCCGACGACCAAAAGGCAGATGGCGACTACTACACACATGCAACCTCTCCAACAAGTGCCTCGTTGTCGTTGAATCCGACTTATTGCTGGGGTACAGTAACCGTTACGAGTATGTACGTGGTTGACGAGTGCCCCTTCGACTTGACTCGTTCTGAAACCGCCTCAATCTTTTATCGCTTTTCAAATGACGTGGCACAAAGCCGTGATATTACGGAAAACCGAGTACTATTACATCGTGGAAGGTATTGCACGAATGAATACCATACCATTCGACGCATGTGCAAATGGGTACCGGTATCTCTCACTAACTACGACGAGATAGGTAGCTAGGTACTGGGAGAGCGGAGGCCCGTGGTGTCTGACAGCGGGAGCTCGACCCAAAATGGCATGACCTCCTCCTTTTAGTACATGCCCTGTTATGCAGCATCGCATGTGAAGATGGCGACTGTGATGTGGGTATTTACGTACCTACAGCATGGAATAACGTTACCAAGATTTACCCACAAAGTCACTTTGTCTGGCATGAAAGAGCCGGACTGGCTGGCCAGAATTTCACTTTTCCTCGTCGCTGTAACAGTCCCCAATTATATCCGGACGATCCTGTAACGGTCATCGAAGTGCACATCATGGCGGCGAGTGCAGGGCGAGGTGACGGCGCGGAAGTCGCGTTTGTCGTCAAGCTGATCCAGGCAGACCTTATTTCGGCAGATGAGACGGTCAGTCGGCCGGCCCTAGAAGCATGGTGGGGCCGCAGGCCTTTCTCAGGGACGACATCCATCGTGGACACATGGGTCGCCAATGGGTGGATCGAAGAGCTCAAACCCGTGTCCTTGTGTGCGTCCATCCAGCCTTCGTACACACTCCGTCTCTCGGTGCCAGCCGTGCGCGAGCTGTTGGCGGTACAACCTCCACGCACCGCTGACAATGGCGACTCGAGCCTAAAATCGCCTGACGACGGCATGTCCACGCAGTCCAAGGTATATACGACCGACGCCCTCGGTACATACAGTATCCATTTGTAGCTCATCTCCATCTCCAGGGAGCGCTCTTTGATGCCACGTTCCCATCCCTTGGGGCTTCGGCCAAGAAATCGTTCCTTAAACTGCACGACCCGTCCGTCATCTTGTATGCGACCATGGGCCTCCAACTGGTGGTGCACGGCGCGTCCACCGTCGCCACGTTCTCTCGAGATATGAAAGCGATGGGCGTGGACGCTCAAACTCGAACCATCGTCACGAATTACTTAGCCAAATCCCCTATGCTTCCCTCCTCCTCTTCCTCGGCAAGGCTACAACCGGCACCGCACCCCCGGTCCTGACCAATGATCGCACACTCCCAACATCTTGGCCACGATTGTTTAGTGCAGTGGCGCAAAGTTCTGGGCCGCCGCCGCGAGTCGAGCTAGCTCCAGCGAACTCACGAGCCCAATGTCTTCGTGAAACGATAGCTTGATATACGACGTCAGCGGCGGCGTCGATACGTAGCCGTTCAACGCGGCATTAAACTAGCACGAAATCTCATCAGCATCCTCGCTGGCCCCATCATAGACCGGCCAACTTATTTGGTGTGGAATAGATGAATGGACAGAGTGGCTTGCTTACCTTGGTGTGGATTTTGCCTAACAGCCCTTGCCGTTTCGACACGCCGCCGCCTAACACTATCACATGGGGCGACACGGTGAGCGTGAGGTTCACACACACGAGCGCGAGGTAGTGGGCCACGATATCCCAGACCGGATCCGTGTCTGGGATCTCATGGAGCCCTGTTCGATCGACGCGGGTGCGGGCGGCTATCGCTCCTGCCGCCGCCATGCCTACAATGATAAATAATATGCAAATGTGTGAGCTTGGAAGGTAGTTGCGTGAAAGGAATGTGGCGGCAGTACCTTCGGCGCAGGACGAATGGAACGGACACAACCCCTGGAAGTTGGCGGCAATGTCGGCGGGCGCCAACGGCACAAACATGTGGCCGGCTTCGGGGTGCATGCGGCCATGCACCGGCTTGCCATCGATGCACACGCCGACACCTATGCCGGTGCCCACGGTGATGTAGCACACGCTGGACACGTCAGGGCCGTGCCCACCAAAGGCGGCTTCGAACAGCGCCGGAGCGTTCACGTCCGTCTCGAAGTTGATGGGCACGCCGGTGTACTTGGCTTTGAACGCGCCGACAATGTCTAGGATGGAACGGTGAAGACGATGTAACGAAGACAGCACGAACTCGTGTTGGCCCAGTGGGGCTTTGGGGTGGTCGTGATGTAGCCGTACGTAGGGCTCGCGGGGTTGAGGTCTACGGGACCGAACGAAGCAATGCCTATGTAGGACGGCATGTGGGCGAGCGATTCTGTGTGTGTTTCAAAGATAGGAATATGGAACACACCAAGAGCGTCAAAGTTTTGCGTATCCAGCCATGCAAATGCCTTGGCGATGGTTTCGTCGGGCGTCGTGGTGTCGATGCGAGTCCGCGCCACGATGTTCAACGGATTGTCGTGCGCAATCGCCAGCGCCCACGTCGTGCCGCCCAGTTCCACCTACCGACACATCACGATAGGAATGGAGAACTTGGGCAGACGACGTTGGGATACCCCTGCAAATTTGTGCCCTGTCGCTGCCATCGTCCTTGATAATGAAATCTTCGTACTCGATGTGGAATTCATGAAACATTTATTACTAATTCCGTTGAATTATTTATTCGGAAAAGATTCGTACTGTACTTCGAAGTATTTCTATTTGCTTCATTTATTATTGTGAGTTTGCAGTTAAGTTGTTCCTCGAGGGGCCCCACTACGCCGGGTCAGCAAGAACACAAACACATTGTCGTTGTCGAAATTCAGGCCTGTGATGGCGTCGGCCGAGTACAATTGGACCGTGAAGAGCTTGGAGAGGCCTAGAAATACTTGCTCTTCGCGCCTACAATGCATGTGTAGCACACACACAACGCAGCATGGCCTACGAAACACTTCGTACTCTGGAATACGTTGCTTGTATGCCAACAGCACGCGGCTGCCAGTCGCGGTCACGTCAATAAGCGACTGCACAAAGTCACCAAAAACAGACGGCTCGTACAGACAGTCCGAGCACAAGACGAGGCCAAACGGGTGCTTTGGACTCGGCGGCCACGTCCCCCTGCATCACAGCAAGGTCGTAATGACACGATCAGATCGAATATGTTTACCATTTGAATTCGCGAACAGCAACGTCCATCGCAGAAAACACGTCCGGGTGGTCTTGCAGTGCTCGTTGGGCATTGATGTGGGTTAGAGGCAATACGACACAGAGGTCCGTCAAGAGCAGCGACCGGGGACCGTAGTAGCCAGCGGCTAAGCTTGCCGCGCCAGTGCCACACCCCATTTCAAGCACGTCGTGTCCTCGCACGAGTTCTGGATGCCGCGACAAAGCCTGTACAATCGCCCTTCCCTACGAAGTATACACAATTGTATAGATGTGTGTAGGGAATTGTGGAGGTGGTGGAATTCATTGGTCGACCCTTACGCAATTCCAGAGGACACCGCCGACACCGAGGCTCATGTCTTGGGAGATTGTGAGCCGGGCATTGTTGGACGAATCGACTGCAATTTCAATCTGCTTTTGGCTGGCTTGCAAGTAGTTTACACCCAGCGTTGGTGTGGTTGCCTTTGTCGGTACGAACATGGCCCATGTCGCCGGAGTCCACGCCACAAACGGCATCGTAAGATCAAATATCTTGTGACAGTTACCAAACAGTTTCATGTTGAAGTTGAGGGATATTTATTTGGACCACCCAACGTGCCATCCCTAAAAATCATTACTACAGTTGTACCTCGTAGTTACGGATACTACGCAGAATTTGGGGACTTATCCGGGTGAATTTGTGCCTCGGACATCCCAAAAAGTGCAAATTATTGGGATATCGGAGGCAAATGGGGACAGAATCACCCGGATAATCCCCAAAATATCCGTACTCCAACCTGAAGTAACGGTACAATCCAAGTTCTGGGTTATGGGGAAAATATTTGGGGATGCGGTGGAGATGCTCTTAGTTCGCCTTTTTGGCCTTGGCTAACGACACCAATCGAGCCACATCGACGCCCCCTGACTTTGGGCTGACGATGGGCTTTGCAGTGTTCTCGTTAGTGTCAGGCGTTGTGCCCTGGACTTCCGCCTTTGATAGTGCAGATTCTATGGTTTGCTCACCAACAACATTATGGTTGCCAAGCTTGGCCAGATGGACAAGGTCGTCAACACTCTGACTGGTTCCGACATGACGGTCCCTCGGATGCGCCATGCTCTTTGCGGATGCCATGACTTCGTGGACAATGGGTACTATCCGCTCGGTGGCATATCTAAGTGTCGATCCGTCGTGAATTCGATCTTTTGTATTGTTTGACACGATTCACGTACTTTGCCAAATGGCCACCGACAGCTTCGCCGACTCCTCGTGCCACATGGCCACCAAAACGACCGCCTACGGCTCCCCCCATCACCTCGCCCATAAACCCCCCGGCGGCAGCGGCCAAGTTCGGCGACCCTTCCGACTTGGTCGAGCGACGGGAGATGGCTGAAAAGACGGACTCCAACGGAACCGAAATGTCCCAAGGAAGGCTCACGCGTGTCCATACTGGTAGCACCATATGCATCGCCATCTTTTCCTCGAGCTCTTGCGTCAGTAATGCTCCCAACTGCGGCAATGGCTCTACCTACACAAGCAGTATTGATGTCATTAAGGACTTGAAGAGGGGCTAGCAGCTGACATGTGGAGGACAGCTCTCGACGGTCAATTGGACTTTGGGGGCTTCGTCGAACGCAACCCATCCGAATCCTGGGTCACAACCCGGCTGAGGTACAAACAGTCGAGCCCTGTCCACAGCATTAGCTTGTAGGGGGATTGAAGGGGAAGGGATACCGGCCATGAAGTGACGCGACGTGAACGCGCAGCGACAGCGTTGTTTGGTGTTGCATGAGGTTGGACAGCGTCACTCGAGTCATCACGTCGATGGAGCCGTTGCCAGTGTACTCCACGTTGGCTGACATGCACTACGTTCACGTACACGTTAGAAGTGCCTACAATACGATTTATTTCCCTTACCAATTCACTTGGGTGAAGCGTGGGGTGTACACAGAGGTTGGACACTTCGGGCGGGTGGATGCCCAGCACTGGATTCGTCACTTCGATGCTGTCGATGGCTTTCACGTCGAGCAGCTTGCTTTGCACGATCCGATTCACCTTCCACCGCAATATCTCCAATAGTTCTGTATTCGTGGCGAACTCATCAAACCAGCGATGTAACACCACATTAAGCCACGATATGTCGATCGTTGGTGTCGTCAATGGCGCAGAAGCCGTCATAAGCGAAGGGTACTCGGTGACTCGATGCGATTCCTCTACCGCCGATTCCCCGACGACCTTGGTGTGTTGCAACATCTACAAGCGAGTTATCATGAGTAACAGTGGTGTCCCGAGGTGGTTGGTGTTCATGGCAACCAGGTGAAACATGTGATGGCGAGGGTGGACCAGGTGATGGAAGGCCGACACGCTCATGTACAACGATGGGGAAAACAGGGAACTGGTCACTTGAACTGCAAAGTCCACGGCAGATTGGGTTGGCAAGTGTTGGGTGGTTACTATGGCTTTGATTGCCTGGTCCGAGAGCGATAAGAAGCAGCGTCTATGGCTCATTGGATCGGTGAAGCAATCTTACCTGTATGATGGCACGCGGAGTCTTGCCCAACTTTACAAAAGCATCGGCGAGTTCCACCATAGCCGACTTTGAGTTCTCGGATTGTGTGGCACCTACAGTGATAAGTCAAGAACGAACACGAGGGCAGATCAATCAACCTTGTAGGGCGCGTTCGAGTCGCTGCATGTCCTTTGGTTGGCATAAGCAACCCATCAAGTGGGCCACTTCGCGATGCAGTAAGAGCAACTTCGTGGGGCCAGCCATAGCATCGATAGAGTCGTCGCTGCTGATGTCCGGAAGGCTTACCGTGGCTGAGGATCGCCCGTTGGTAGTGGAAACAGTAGCGTGCAGTTGTGTCCACTCGTCTACAGTCAACGGCTTGGCTGCAATGCAGCGCGAAAGCGTCGCCACCGTACGCCATTCTTGGTCGTGCTGTCGTTGGATACATTGCGACGAAAGGCGGAGGAGGCTTGAACACTTCTTTGTGAAGGCCAATGCCGTGCGGAAGAGAGGGTCGTGGCCAAGGCAAACCATCCCCATGACACCCACGACGAAGCCAACGACCGCCGCTGCCAATAAGGACAGCCACATCGCGATGAGTTTCGAAACAGTTTCATATCGTTTGTGGGAATTGTACAGGTGAAACATGCACAATTCTACCGTTGTCAAGTCTAATTCAAGGAGGATATACTTATTTAAACTTGCGTTGTTTATACTTACGCAAATTAATACTAACATGATACATTGTGGTTTATTGGCGGACGGCTACAAGCACGGCGACAGCAACCGCCACGGTACAGTAGTCGACATTGTGGCTGCGCTCAAAGCCTTCGGGGCAACTATCGTGGCCGCGGGGGGCGCGTCAAACTTCTTGGTGGAGTTGCCACCTGACAAGGAAGTGGTCGAACACTTGAGAGCCGTCAGCGGGTCCGGGGTGAACTTGTCGGCTGTGCCAGGACAGGGGACGTGGCTTTGATTCCAGACACCAACGAAGAGCCCACAGTCCACGTGCAGTAAGGGTCACCCAGCTCTTCGCCGTTGGTGGCGCCGTCGTTGTCCGAGTCGGCTTTGCACAACTCAGGGGTCCACTTTCCCCCCGCGGACGAAAACGCAATGCCAAATGGGTTGCGAGCCCCCGCCAGAAGGGTTGTCGTGGCCGATGGCAATGTTGCCAGTAACGTAGAGTTCCAATTTACTGTTAAGAGACGCAGCTCGGTACTGAGGAATGGTTTCGACTTCTGAAAACTGATAACTCAATAGGAAACACAGGTCTTTTTAGGAAGCACTGCCATGAAACATCGATTTTCACTATCGTTCAACAGGTTATGT